CTGGCAGTATCTCACTACTGCCAATCCCTTTCTTATAGTATACTCAGGGTCTGCTTTTGAGTGAGAGCATGTAGGACTCTGTTCTTTGTTTCTATAGTAGATTACTGAGTATGCTAGGCTCTAAATCCATCCAAGTTGCTGTGAAGTCCATATGTTTGTCCTTCTTTATAACTGTGTAATATCCCCTCATGTATATGTACCATATTTTTTTATCCAGCCCAATTTCAATGGGCAGCACGGTAGGTTTTGTGATTTGCTATCGTGAATAGTGCTGCAATAAACATGCGAGTGCAGGTATCTTTTTTGTAGAATGATTTGAGTTCCTCCAGGTATACTCCCAGTAGAGTATACATGGCCAGTCAATTTCTAGTTCTTGCAGAAACTGCCACACTGTTTTCCAAAGAGGTTGAACTAGTTTGCAAAGAAGTGTAGAAGCATTCCCTTTTTCTCAACATCCCCAGCAGCATCTGTTGTTGTTTGTTTTATTAATGATGGCAATTCTTACAGGGGTTAGGGTATCTCAATGTGGTTTAGATTTGCATTTCTCTGATGATTAGTGAGGCTGAACACTTTTTCATGTGTTTGTTGGCTGCCCATATATTTTTATCTGAGAAGAGTCTATTCATGTGTTTTGTCCACTTTTTAATGGGGCTGCTTGTTTTTTCTTTCCTTTCAGCACATTTGAGTTCCTTGTAGATCCTGGATATTAGACCTTTGTCAGATATACAGTTGGCAAATATTTTTCCCATTCTGTGGGCTGTATCCCCATTCTCTTGATGGTTTATTTTGCTTTGCGGAAGCTTTTCAGTTTAATGATGTCCCATTTGTCCATCTCATTTCTTATGGCATGGACACCTGGGGTTTTGATCAGGAATTGGTTGCCTACTCTAATTTCTGTAAGGGTGTGTCCTGCGTTTTCTTTTTTTCTTTTTTTGCGTTGGAGTCTCACTCTGTCGCCCAGACTGGAGTGCAGTGACCACTCCCGGCCACCGCAGCCTCAACCTGCTGGCCTCCGGCGATCCTTCCACCTCAGCCTTCCAAGTAGCTGGAACTACAGGCGAGTGCTATCATGCCCAGCTAATTTTTGATTTATTGTAGAGATGAGGTCTCGCCAAGTTGCCCAGGTGGGTCTCGAACCCACGGGCTCAGGCAATCCACTCACCTCGGCCTCCCAAGGCGCGAGATTACAGGCTGAGCCACCCAGCCCAGCCGGATCATGGTTTTTTATCCAGTTTGCCACTGTCTTTTCAGTGGTGCATTTAGTTCATTCATGTTCAAGCTGATTATTGAAATGTGAGAGTTTATTCCTGCCATAGAGCTCTTGGGGTGCTATTTTGTTTTCTTCTAACTTTTGCATTAATATATGTGTGTTTTCATTTTTCTGAGTGCACTATATGCTGTTAAGTCTGTGTTTGCTTTTACTCTTGTGATGTGCACGGTTGTGTTGTTTTGGTTTTCTTCTGTGCTCAATATCTTCTTAAACATCTGTAGAGCTGGTCTGGAAGCAGCATATTCTCTTAGGCAGTGGATGCCTGGGAAGATTTTAGTTCTCCATCACTGATGAAGTTTAGCTTAGCTAAGTAGGAAATTCTTGGCTAGAATTACTTATCTTTGAAAACATTAAAAATTGGACTCCAATCCTTCTAGATTGTAGTGTATCTGCCAATAAGTCTGCTACTCTGATTGGTCTTCCCCAGCAGATAGTTGGACCTTTCTCTCTCACTGCCTTTAGGATTTGTTCTTGTATACCTACTTTGTGTAGGTGAATTACTGTGTCTAGGAGTTGATCTTCTCCTATGATGCCCTGCGGGAATTATCTGAATCTCTTGTGCTTGAATGGTCACATCTCTGGCAAGATGGAGAAAGTTTTCTTGGATGAACTTATGAAATGCTAGTTCCAAGGTGTTCTCTGTTTCCCTTTAAGCTTCAGGAATACCAGTTAGGCATAAGTTCAGCCTCTCGATAGAATTGCACATATCTTGGAGGCTTTGCTCTTTGAGTTTTTTCCCCTGTTTTTAACAGATTGGTAATTCCATATTTCAGTCTTCAAGCTCTGAGATTCTTTCCTCTGCTTAGTTAATTCTGCTTTCCATGCTTGTCAGTTTCAGTTTGCTATTTATTTCATGGACAGAGTTTTTTATGGCCAAAATCTGTTACAATTTCACTCCATCTTGCTTCTTGTTTTTCTTGATTCTGGTTCATTCTTTCCATTCACTCCCTGATCTCTGTAACTGTGTTCTAGGGTCAGTCACTCTGGGAGATTTCCATTGTTTGAGCTCTGAGGTCTGTTTTTTCAGATGCTGTCTCTTTTGGACTCTGGGGTTTACCTGTTTTTCCGTTGAGTTTTCCTCATTTGCAAAATCTCTTTTCTTTCTTTTCAATTCTATTACTGAGAGAGGAAAAAGCTTTCACTTCTGTGTTTGCACAACCTCCTATCCTTCCCTGAGCAGAGTCTCCGAATTTGTTCAATTTTGAAACAGGGCTGAGGGTGGAAAACTGTCCTGTCTCTTTGCAGTTTAAGAGTTGAACAAAACGGAAGGAGGGGCTAGGATTCAGAAACTACCTGCAGGTCACAATGTTCACTGACCGGGGTATGGGGCCCCTGAGACCCAATTCCCACCACCACACAATATGCCCATGCAGTGGATACATATGTGTACCCCCTGAGTCCGAGATAAAGTAAAAGAAAAAAGGAGAGGAAAAAAAAAGAGCAGATAGACACACAACACACACAAATTCCTGAGCACTGAGCTCCCATTTGTTATAACCAGTCACTTGGCATGTTCTATAACTTTACATTTTTCTCTGTTGCTAGGCTTGTAGGGCTAGATTCTCCATCTCCTGCTGTGTGTGATCACTGGCCAGTGCAGAGGGGTTGAGAGGGTGCCAGGATGTTCCTGACCCCCACAGTGCCTGGCTCACAGGCGAGAAGGAGCACCTGGCCTCCACTCCTGCCCTCCTGCTCTCTGTGTGGTCAAAGGGATACTCTCTGGCCATGTGGGGCCTCACCTTCCCAAAGTGACTCCTACAATTGGTCGCTGGATCCCCACTCTCCATCCTGTTCTGTGAAAGAGGTGCCAGACTGTCTCTTCCCCAGGTACTGGCAGCATGTCAGGATGACCTTCTCAGTGTGGGAACAATTGCTAGCTCCACCTGGGCTCAGTTCTCTCCGCTATGCTGTGAGCAGGCTTTTTCCCATGCGGGTTCGTTTCACGTGCCGCTGGGGGGAAGGGGTGAATCAGTTCAGCACTCACCACTACCCTTCTCTGACTGGATCCTCCTGTTCTGATTGCACCTGTTATCCTGCAGCTGGGCCAGGGGAGGGGCATCTGGAACTCCACACCTGTCATGTCCCCCTGGAGACTGTGCACTCGGAGTTACCCCGAGTTCACGACAATCAACCCCAAAGACATCAACCCAAAGAGTTCACCCCCTAGTCTCAAGGCGCTGGTCTGTTACTCAGTGGAGCACTTCTCTGTCCAGGTTTCAGGATGGTGGCAGAGTACCTAGTGCTATCTCTTCCAGTGGGCCTCAGCTTTCCCTTCCCTCACTGCACTCTTGCTACAGCCTAGCTGTCAGTGCACCTCTCTGCCACCAGCACTCGTTTCTTGGCTGTGAGCTGCTCAGTTTCTCCTGAGTTCACAGTTCCAGCAGCACACGGGGCCAGGGAGGTGACAGCTCCCTCCACTTCCATCAGATACCAGTCTCCAGATCCCAGACCCTGGTGGTCAGGCCACACCATCCAGCCTCGTGCTGAAGGTGGTGGTGGCAGGGCCAGGCGCCTAGTAACTTTGTTAGTTTCAGAAAAATGGCACTCACTCCTGACCCCAGGAAGCACTGGGGTCAGAGCAACAGCAGTGCCAGTTGCTTCAACAAGAGTTCCCAGACACTTGCACACCCACTTACGCACACCCACTTTCGCACACACACATTCACTTGCACATTCCCACTGGCCCCGCCACCATCTTCCCAGAACCCCCCAAATCTTGTTTTCTTAATCCATTTAGTCACTCTAACATCTTCTGCTTGGACGATGTATTCTGTTTTGCATTCAGAGTAATTATTGACAGGTAATGCCTTGCTGCCATTTTGTTCGTTGTTTTCAGGTTGTTTTGTAGGTCTTTTTTCCTTTCTTCCTCCTCTGTTGCTCTGTGATTTGATTTCCTATAGTCCTTCCATTTTTCTCTTTTATGTTTCTACTAAAGGGTTTTGTTTTATGGTTACTTCAAAGCTTATGTAAAACATAAGTCTGTCTTAAGCTGGTAATTTCAATCACATACAAAAACTGCACTTAACTTCCCCTCCCATTGCATTTTGTTTTGGATATTACCATTTTCATTTTTTTATACTGTGTATCCATTAACAAATTATTGTAGCTATACTCTTAAAATGTTATCACTTTTGTCTTTTAACCTTTATACTGGAGTTATAAGTGATTCATATACCACCACTACTATAGTATGAGTATTCTGAATTTGACCATAAATTTACCTTATCAGTGAGTTTCACTTTCATATTTTCGCATTACTAATTAGCAGCCTTTCATTTCAACTTGAAGAACTTCTTTTAGCATTTCTTGTAAAGAGTCTAATGAATTTATATTATTCTGATTCATCTCCCATGACAATCACTGAACAGAAACTCCAAGATCTTTTCTGGTTTCCAAAGTCTGTGACTCTGATCTTACTTCTCTTATACTGATCCCTTTCATTTATGCTGATTGCAGTTCCGGGATGTGAGAAGTGGTATAGATCATGAAGATAATTTGAAGCAAGTTAAATTATCTGTACTTGCAAATAAATAATATTCATTTATCGTAAGGAGTGCTCTGTCAGTTTAGAAACATGAGCACAGGGGTTTAGTCTAAAATTCTTAAAAGCAGTATTTCTTAAAAGAGCACTACATACAAATATCCTTTTATTCCTACTGCTCTATTTATATTTGATCAATTAAATAAAAAGCTCATTAAATAAGCAAATTAAAAAACAAAAGAGACAATGCATTTTTTCATATTTTTAATACCATTATTGCACCAATACAGCATACCCTTTATATACATATATCTTAAACTTTTCAATTTTTCCGGAATTCAAATACATAATATATTATCATCTTGAGAATACAAAGAACACAACATGGAGGAAGATTGAGAAAATAGGTTCCCAGTATTTAGTCACTAGTGATTCTACAGACTTTTAGTGTTTTCTACTGGAATTTTAATAAGTCCTGCCATGGCTCTGCAATAATAGAGCTGCCCAGAAGAGGAGGCAATGAAAAAAATGGACCCAAAGTTAGAAAATGTTAAGAAGGAAATCCAGGAAATATATTTTGAAACTCAATATAAGGACTTCCTTCATCCAGAGTGTATACATCCAAATAGGTGCTAAGGAAGAAATTATATCCTTCCGTGTCATCCTCAGACCTGCCAATTAATAAACAAAAGTGATAGTACCCATTCATCTGAGAAGCAGCACTTCTTCACAGCATTGTAAAAGGAATGGCAGGCAGAGGAAAAGCAAGTGCTGGGAGAACTTGCTTCTAAGATACCCTCATGACGGGTATCAAAGCCTTAGGCAAAACCTGCCACAGGTAAGCAGACTCTCCAACTTCCTTCCAAAATGACAATACACATAATAGCAGCTTTCTACTGAAGAGCTAGGTTAACTGAAAAATAAATGTTCACAGAAAGGGGCCAGATACCCAGGCAGCACGGCAATGTGAGCCCTGAACACTCTAAGTGCGTTCAACCCCTCTGATCTATAGATCAGGTTAAAAACTCTAAACCCTACAACTTTAGGTCAAATAACAGGGCAAACACAAATGAATGCCGTGCTTCAAATGCAGCAACTAGATGAAGCTGCAGGAAATTAAATACCTCTACATAATATAACTTGGAAAGCACAGCCTCTTGAACCTCCTCCACCACAGAGACACCCACCGGTCAAAGATGTTGCACTATTCAACAAGAAGAAAAGAATAGTGGAGGTGCCACCAACACAACCCTCTTATAGGAAGAGACATGTAAACACACATGAGGGTGATGGAGCTGCACCCAGCACTGGATGTTCACTGAATAGGATGGGCCTGAAGGAGGCTACAGAGCAGAGACCCAGGAAAGGTCTTTCTCCATCCCTACCCTTATCAAAATTCTGGATTTGTAAACACTGAGGTCAGCCTGTCCACTTTTAGAGCCTTGAATTGGTGGAGAAGGAAGTTTCAAGGTTTTTTGTCTCCCCTGAATTTGCCAAATGGGGCTTCACAAAGAGGCACGCAAGGGTCATGAGATGATTTTGAAATAAATTCAAGAATTTAAAAGATGGAGATACATTTTACAGCTGTTACAGGTCATTTCCCCTCAATAGACACTGGCCTTTTGAGCTCTGCATAGTCAGTCACAAGTATAATGAGATCCACTAGTCTCCTGCCTTGGTGGTAAACAGGAGATAACAGACACAATCTTGGCTGTACAGCAAGCAATGAAACAGGGGAGTGACATAACCAGCTTGAGTGCGATGGAGAAGCTATGAAAAAGATTGTCCAGTCATTTTGGTTCTAGGGAGGGAAGGGATTCCTTACTTCCCTCACAGATTGGTGCCCTCGAGGTCATTTTTACTCCACAAGTCTGTCCTTAATGTTTTGCCAATCATTCAGAACTGGACCCAGTTGGATGGCTGTGGTGCCTGGTTTGGAACAGAACTGCAAGACAGGAGAACAGGGAAAAAGCCAAAGACATAGTATTAGGATAACTACTGCATTTTTCACTTAGTAGTTTCCAAGGAACTGCTGTCCAGGATTTCTGAAACCATACTTCACAAGTAGTTCTACTTACCAAGGCCTGAAATATCCCACTCAAACCCCATCCTCTGCTCTCTTGTCCCACTATTCCCAGTGCTCCTATATTTCCTTCCCCAGAACTCCTGCAAAAGATACTATCTGACTTGTAAATTCCCAGCTCTCCCAGGTAAAAGACTTCATTTAACTGTACATATCTTCTATACCCTGACTGAGAGTATGGCTGAGAGTATGCCCATTACCTGGATGCAGTACTAAAGTCTCCCCACAAGTCATTGCTTGCAGAAACTGGACCTGATGCTGGTGTCGTGACGGGAGCAGGAGAATCCAAATCTAAAAGAATATCTGAACACAGGGTAAGAAAAGAAAAAAAGAGGAAACAATAAAAATCTTGGAAATGAAAACTCATGTTCACATAAAAATCTGTACACAAATGTCACAACAGCTTTATTCATAATGGCCTCAAACTGAAGACAACCCAGATGTCATTCCATGGGTGATGGCTACCCACACTGTGGTACATCCATGCCAAGGAATACTACTAAGTGATAAAAAGGAGACTTTTGATATACACAACAACTTGCATGACTCTCTAGGAAATCATGCTAAGTGGAAAAAGCCAGTCCCAAAGGTTGCATACTGTATGATTCCATTGATAGAACATCCCCAAAGTAACAAAATTATAAAGACAGAGAACAGACCAGTGATCGCCAAGAGTAAGGGGTGAGGGAAGGAAGGCTGGGAGGAGGATGGGTGTGCTTGTAACAGGGTGACAAAAGGGTCCTTGCAATGATGAAACTGTTCGGTAGCCTGACCGCAGTGGCAGAACCTACACATGACAAAACGACATAAGACTAAATACCCATACACACACGCACACAAACCAACAAGAACATGTAAAACTGGTGAAGTCTGAATAAGACTGGAAGATGACATCAGTGTCAATTTCCTGGTTGTGATATTTGACTATGGATTTGCAAAATGTTATCGAGGGAAACTGGGTTAAGGTATGCAGGATCTCTTTGTATTATTTCTTACAACTGCATGTGAATCCACAATTATCTCAAACAAAAAGTTTAATTAAAAAAAAAAAATCTTAGATACCATCCCCAGTGCCTCTTGCCGACGCTTACCAAAAGAGGGCTGCAACATTTTCACCTCAAAGGTTCCAGAAAGCAAGCTTGCCCTTAGTAATCAACTCAACAAATGATCTGCATTATTCAATACATTAAGTTGAAATTCCAAGATCCTAATACCTGGTTGTCTAATCTTAGGAAAATTCCTTTCTCCGTTCATATTTTCAAATGAGAAGATATCACTATATTCTTTTTCCCACCAGATAGGAAGGAAGTACAAAAGCACAGGCACAAGCCTAGATGTCCTCTCCTTTTCCCCAACTGCCCTTGTGGAGAAATGGAAGGGATTAACATTTACTTAATGGCTACTATGTTCCAAGTGCTGAGCTAGGTGCTGTCACATCATTAAACCCTCACAACCTTATGGTATCTACATTTTGCAGATAAGGAAATTGAGACTCAAAAGACTTATTTATACCAAGCACATTCAAATATAAAACAGCAGAGCCATGACTAAAATCTTGGTCCATCTGACTCACAAGCCTACAAGCATGTAACCAACCAACAGTGAAATAGTCTTTTTAATAACCACATATTTTCTGCCAAAGAACCTGCCAGATACCATGACTCTCGGTTCACCAGAAAAGCTTTGATTCCTTGCCAGTGGCTGCCAGAATCACCTTGTCAGTAGCAGGAGCTATTTCATAGCAAAAACATCAACACTCTCCCTGACGAACAGGTGCTACTAAATTAAAACATAAGATAGGATTTTTCAAAGTTGGAAGTACTAGGTTTACCTGCATCACTACCTCCGTGATTAGATTTTGGAATGGGTGGTGGGGTGACATGATTGCTGATGGCAACTGAGGACGGCGGGGGAATCGTGACTTTGCCTCCAGGCGGGGGTGGGAGTAAGCTTAGGCCCCCAGCCCCTGCAGTCTTGGGCTTAGAAGCTCCTCCTTTCTTGGTTGTAATGTTCTACAAAAGAAAAAAAGGAGAGCCAGAGAGAGAGAGACGTCACAGGCTTATGGAAGCACAGGAAAACAACAATTACAAAAGACCATACTCACCCCAATACTCAATTTAATGGTCTGTCCTTCTTTGAAGCCCAGATCCAACTTAGGACGAGTGTCCATTTCTTGGGATTCTTTGGAAATCTCAGTTTCCTGCTTTACCCACCTTTGGGAACATAGTAAGTTATCTTAGTTTGGTATTTCCTGGAAGCAGAGTCTAACACACAAATTTGGGTGCATTTAGTTTAAATGAAATGGGATTCTAGAAAGCAGAGTCAGACAAAGGAAGATGAGAAAAGAAAGAAAAGTCAAGAAAAAGGGCAACTGGGGTTCAATCCCACTGAGGACTCTGAGGACCCTTGCAGAATACATATTAGACTTGTCCCTTTTAAAAGAGAACTCAGCCACCTATTCCAATCCTTTATATTTGAGGGCTGTCCCCAAGGGGGTTAGTTTCTTAGTCCTTCCAGATCATACTCCTATGCTAACGGAGTGACCTCTACAAAGTACTGAGGCAGAAAAGCAGAGATATGCTTGTGCTTGAGCTAGAAAGCTGATGGTGTGTCACACCAAAATCACATGAACTGAAGAAATGTTGCAATAGGCACAAGGTACATAAAGTAAAAAAACAGTTACATAAGGTAATAAAAATCGACAGATAACTCCCCACATAAGCGCTACTATTATGGCATGCATCCCCCACCACCTAAAAGTAAGCGCACATCATCTCAAACCACTGCATGAGGATCTAAAACATACTGCTGCCTATAAGGAAAGGAAACAGAATAGATACAAAGATGACCTAAGAAAATAGAGGTGAATGGGAGATTTATATCCTTAATGAACTTGTTTACAAAATAAGGAAGTCAGGAGGTAAAAGAGACAGCGCACGTGCAGCTGAGAAGCAGCGTGCCCACACCCATTTAACCCAGCAACTAATGACAAGCTTCACTCACTTGAAGTGATCTTGCAAGGAGACATTAAAGTCAAAGGCATCTCCCCGATCTGTGAAGCCAATACCAATGAAAGCACTGCGCCCTGTGAAAAAGGCAGGAAGACTGAGACTAGAAAGTGTCCCTTATGACAAATTCTGCCTGGTGAAAATATAGCAGTTACCCTAACTAGACAAAGTCTGTGAATACGAAACATCTTCTCACAGACCAGGAGTCAACAAACTACACACAGCCCATGGGTCTAACCCTCCCAAAGCTTGTTTTTGTGAATATATTTTTATTGGAACAGAGCCACATCAATATGTTTACCTACTGTCCACAGCTGCATTCACACTGCAATAGCAAAACTAAGTCGTTACAACAAAGGCCATTTACCCACAAAGCTTAAAATATTTACTATCTATCTCTTGTTTTCCAACCTCTGTTATAGACCATGGAGAAAAGATTCAGAATTACTGCCCTAGACACAGATGATACAAGATGGGCCCATCAAAAGCCACCACAAACAATAAATGTGCTCATTCTTTTGTCAGATATGCATTTTGACTTATTTAAGCCTCCCTATGAATTATTCCAAAAAAGGTCAATGCCATTGGGACACACTTTCACGGAAGTGCATCATTTACTATTTTCCTAACTGCCTCCCATTCAAAATCCCAGATCCCTTACCAGTACCATCCTGGATCCGGATTACAAAGTAGCGACTAGAATCTGTCACTGTCTCCACAGCGATACCAGGATACTGTTCTACTGGAGCCTGAGCAAAGAGCTCCCCTGACAGATAAGAAAAAGAAAAATACCTCTTTGAGTAAAGGAAGCAAAAATCGAGTAGTCTAATTAACAAGTATTTCCATCCCAGTCCCCAAACTTGAAGGTACTTTTAAAAGCACACCAAACCAATATCTTCAACGTTAGAGGGTCACCCACACAGATTACCTGAAACTTTATCCTCGAGTTTGATATAGGCGATCTTTCCTTTTGAAGTGATTCGGAGGCGACCAGTCCAATCGGGCTGGTCTAATTTCCAGTCAGATGCCCTAGGATAGGAAACAGGAAGCCTTAGGTATATGTCTTTAACATACTGAAGTCTACCCAGAACCCTTTTTTTTTTTTTTAATTGGAGTCTCACTCTGTCGCCCAGGCTGGAGTGCAATGGCACACTCACAGCCACCACAGCCTCGACCTGCTGGGCTCAGGCAATCCTTCTGCTTAAGCCTCCAAGTAGCTGAAACTATAGGTGTGAGCCACCAAGCACAATTAAATTTTTTTTTTAATAGAAACAAGGTCTCACCATGTTGCCCAGGCTGTTCTCAAACCCGTGGGATCAGGAAATTCTCTCACCTCAGCCTCCCAAAGTGCTGGGATTACAGGCATGAGTCACCATGCCCAGCCTACCCAGAATCTTTTGTCACTTTTTTTTTTATTTCAAAATAAATTCTATAGAGATGGAATCTCAATATGCTGCCCAGTCTGGTCTCAAACGCCTGAACTCAAGCAATCCTCCTCCCCTGGCCTCCCAAAGTGCTGGAATTATAGGCGTGAGTGACTACACTTGGCCTTTTTGCCATCTTTCTTTCTTTCTTTCTTTTTGAGTTGGAGTCTCACTCTGTCACCCACACTGGAGTGCAGTGGCATGCTCACAGTCATCGCAGCCTCGACTCCCTGGGTTCAGGTGATCCTTCTGCCTCAGCCTTCCAAGTAATCGAAACTACAGGCATGTACCACCACACCCAGCTAATTTCTTAATTTGTTGTAGAGATGAGGTCTCGCCAAATTGCCCAGGCTGGCCTCGAACCCATGGGCTCAAGCAATCCTGTCACCTCAGCCTCCCAAAGTGCTGTGATTATAGGCGTGAGCCACTAAGCCCTGCCTTTTGCCATAGTTCTATTTCCCTGTCTGGGCTGCCTATTCTTTCCACTTATAATCAATAATTCATAATCTCCTCTATATAGATGCCTCATAGTACATCTAGTCTTAAGCAAATAAAAGACAACCTGAGGATTTTGGAGTCTAATAAGCATCATTGGAAACATGTAAAAGTATAAATAAAAACAATAAAAAATGAAATTTCTCATAAAGATGCTATTTTCCTACTATAGGTGATATTCTATATAACACTGCTTTACTGCTCAGGTAATAGCAAAGTCTACTAAATGAAATATCCTGGGTAACAGAAGCTTTCCCAAATCACTAAACAAATTATATCTTTCACTGAATTCAACCAATATTTATAGAGTGTTTATTAAGTCGGAGGCACTGTGAACAAAACAAACTGAACAAAACAAAGATTACTGTCCTCATGAGGCTTACATTCTAACACTAGATAGACAATAAAAAAGAAACACAATAAATAACCATAATTAGTATCTTAGAAAGTGGTTAAGTTCTAAGGTAAAAAGAAAACGTAGAAGCAGATAAGGAAGAGAGAAAGGAAAATGGGAGAGTGAACAGGTTGCAGCATTCAAGTGGGTAGTCAGGTAGGGCTCAGTAGAAGGTGAAATGTAGCTAAAATATGAAGCAAGTGAGGGGGTCACCAACGCACATATCTGGTGGAAAGAAGCTAAGGTAGGCGTGTGCCTGGTATGTTAGAGGGACAGCAAGAAAGACACCAGGCTTAGAACAGAGTAAGAGATGAGGTGAGAGAGGCAACAGAGAGCCAGAACACACAGAGCCTCGCAGGCCACTGTAAGAACTTCAGCTTTCACTCTGAGTGGGGGAAAAAGAGCTAGTACAGGTTTTAAGCTGACATGTGACAAGCTCTCCTTTATGTTTTAAAAGGGTTACTACAACAGCTGCATGGAGAAAAGCTGCAGGGATAGGAGGGCTGAAGCAAGGGGATTAGCTCAGAGACTACTGCAGTAATCTCAAAGAGGCATACTGGTAGCTGAGGTGGTTAGATGCTGGACATATTTAAGGTAATGGCAGCAGGATTTTCTAATGAATTCAATGTGGGGTAGAAGAGAAAAAGAGAAGTGAAGGATGACTCCAGGGATTTTAGCCTGAGCAAAGGGGCTGCCAATAATTGACATGAGGAAGGCTGTGAGGTGGAGAATGTGTGGGAAGAAAGATCAGGGCGTGAGTACTGAATATGCTGAGTTTAGATGACTAATACATTTTCAAGAGATGTGGATAGGCAGTTAAACACACGATACTGGAGTTCAGGAAATACATCTGAGCTGGAGACACAAATGTCCATGAAAATATTAGAAAAGTATAATCTGGGCTACAAATCTGAGAACTTCTGTGAAATCTAAGACATTATTTATGACCAATTTTTCAAAACACTGCATTTGTGATTTGTTTTGCTGGAAGTGTAGAGAAGGGAGGGCAAAGTAAAAGTTATTAATAATTAATCCCTTAGGAATCTAAAAACTAATACTTACAGGCTAGGAAAGCAATAAGAAAGTATATCTGAAGAAGAATGAGTTTAACAAGATGGTAAGCAAAGGCTGACAGGAGGAAAGAGAAGAGTGAAAATTAAAATTAGCACAGATTTGGAACAGGATCTGTAAGATAAGTCCTTCTCATTCCCTTCACTCTTGATGTCCTGCCCTTGAAGGTCCTCAAGTACCCAAATCTGATCCACAGCAAAGTGCACTAAAGGTCCCCAACTATTTAGTTTTTTAAATGAGTCATTACCTATCCTAGTCATGCCACCAAGAACTAGACATAAGTGTAGACGGACTACTGAAAATATCATGAGCAAGCCAACTAGACGTATTTCTCTTGGACAGGTTCCTTGTCTTATTTATCTCGTGTATCTAGCACCCGGTACTTAACAAATTCTCAGCAAGTAAGATGGACATTCACGGCAGCAGACACTCTCAGCCTGAAGCCTTAGTTCCTCTCCCACTCTAAGATTTGCTGGTCTTCCGACAATACTGTAAACTGGCCTCACAAATTTTCACTTATCATAGTAATACCACTTGATATATAAACCGTTATTATGCTTCACAATTAAGATTACATATCAGTTTATTAAATCTTTACAGCAGCCATGAAAGATAGGCACAAAAAGCCTCTTATCACTCTCACTAAATGATAAGAGGGACATTAACACAGCAAGTACTAAAGTCTGACTTCAAAGTCCATTATTCTTTTCTAATTCCCATTAGAATTTAATATTAATTTAGCTAGGGAAGGACGGTAATGATGAATTTTAAAAGTTTCATAGGTTGGAAAACCATCTTCTATCCATTTATAAGTTTCTCATCGACTTAAATTTTCCTCCTCATAATTCAGAGGTCTGGTCAGTGAAAGTCTGGGAAGGGGCTGGGCACAGTGGCTAACATCTGTAATCCCAGTACTCTGGGAGGCCGAGGTGGGAGGATCATTTGAGGTCAGGAGTCTGAAACCAGCCTGGGCAACATAATGAGATCCCATCTCTACAAAAAGAAAATTTTTAAAAATAAAGTCTGGTAAAGAGCAGCTTATACTAGATGAATCAAAGTCAGTTACTCCTTATCAGCCACTCAAAGGAAAGATTCTTACCACTTGCTAAAAAGCCCAGTTTGTCCTTTAATGGCAACCTAAAGAATAAATCATGCTTACCATGTAAAATCAGTTCTGGTAAGCAACAAAAAAGATTATGCAGACGAAAAGAAAGAAAAGTAACTTTTATCGAGAATCTATTATTATGTGCCAGACATTATGCCAATTCTTATGAAAATTGAGTGAGAAGATCTTGCAAGCCAGGTATTGTTATATCCATTTTTACAAAAGAGGAAACTAACATTCAAAAGAGTTAAATGACTTGCCACAGGTAACTCAGCAAATAAATGAAGAATCACAATTTAAAGTTAGTTCAGCTCTCTTCATTCACTATATTAAAAGAGTGATTGCTGATGAAATGCCTCTCGGAGAATTTTTTTTATGCTAATAATAAGCGTGGAAAACGCAGAATAACAGCAAAAAAGTTGGCCGGGCTCGGTGGCTCAGCCTGTAATCCCGTGCCTTTGGGAGGCAGAGGTGAGTGGATTGCCTGAGCCCGCGGGTTCGAGACCCGCCTGGGCAACTTGGTGAGACCTCATCTCTACAATAAATAAAAAAAATTAGCCGGGCGTGGTAATGCGCGCCTGTAGTTCCAGCCACTTGGAAGGCTGAGGCGGAAGGATCGCCAGAGCCCAGCAGGTCGAGGCTGCGGTGGCCACTGCACTCCAGTCTGGGTGACAGAGTGAGACTCCAACTCAAAAAAAAAAAAAAAAAGCAAAAAGGTAAAAGAGAAAACTTATGAAATCACTTTAATGGCTCACCCATCTGCAGTTAACTGACCTAAGGGTAAAGACAGTGGAGAAACTAAAAAGTGAAGGTAGAGAATGCAGATGGGTGAGAGAAGAGAGATGTCTGTCAAAGCGTGAAGAAAAATAATAGAATCCCATTTTAATGTGTACCATATCCTTTAGAAAGTCTTAACTCCTAAAAGTTGGAAGCCATGAGCTATTTGAGCTTATTTAACAGATCAATCAATGCTAATTTATGTGTTAGGTTTATCTGTATAATCTACTAACTTCTTCTCTCAATTAATATTTACAGAGTGCCCACTACATACCACTCTGCTAGACGCTGGGAATAAAACATGAAGACAGACCTCAGGTTGTTCACAGTCTAGTCTGGAGAAAGAGGAGCCTAAACAATCCACTACAAAAGAGAACGAAGAGCACTGTGATAGAGACAAGCACACAGTGAGCGCACATAAGCCAGGATGGAAGGGTCTGGTAGGGCCTCCCAAAGGTGATGTCTAAGGTGAGTCATAGTACCTGTGACTCCCATCAATAGGCACATTGGCCAATTTGGGGTCTGACTAAAAGCTTCTTGAACTACCTCTCTGACAAAAGGTACAAGCCACATGGTCCAATGCACTGGTTGGTGCGCACAAAGATACTGACTCATGATGAATGAACCACTGATAAGGAGGCAAAATAACGGACATAAGGAGAGGACAACTTTTCGGCCACGGTCATGGTCGATGCCAAGAGGAAAATCATGAGGGTGATGTGGGTCACAGAGAGGAATAACAGTATCTTATATTTACAGCATTCCCTAAATGCTTTCACATCCATTATATTACTCACTTTGCCCTCCAAAAACCTTTGTGAGGTACCTATCAGAAGAGCAGGTGCTATCATCATTCGTTTTTTTCCTATTTGACAGACAAGAACATTGAGCCTTGGAGAGGGTCTGAGATCTGCCCCCAAGTGACACAGCATTAAGTGGTCAGGGCTCACACTCATATTTTTTAACCTGCAACCCAGTGAATTATCTTTCAGCGACATAACATCCTACCATATCCTCAGACCCTCACAGTCATTCGATGACAAGGTGGCTGGTTAGGCCTACAGAGAAAAACACTGTTTTAACTTTGACGGTGAAGAGGTGAGGCAGGGAAGGAAGAGAGGAAACACTCCATAATCAGGAAAATGTAATGAAAATCAACAGAACGAACGACCAGCGGAAAACTTATGACCACCATCGGCGCTCGCTGGCAAAACAGCTGAAGGAAAAATCGAATGGAGGATAACGGTACTCGGTGGCGAAACTGACAACAGCGCAAAAGATAAATGAGATCACCCAGAGAGTGGCCGGCCACACAGTGATCACTCACTCGTGTGCACGGGGTCTGGGAAATGTGTGAGAGGAGATGAAGATGAGAAGCTGAAGGACGCGGGGAAGAGAGCGCAGAAGGTGACTGGCGACGGAGCGGGCACGACGAGCATGTGAAGGACGGGGAGCAGATGGGTGTCCCAGGGCGTACGGGGGAGGAGGGATGGGAGGATGCAGGATGGTAAAAAAAAAAAATTTTTTAATGGCAGAAACGCGGATGCCGACAGTCCGGAGTAAAGGCGGGGCAGCCGCAGGTTAGGGCTGTAACAAACCAGGTTGGGGAGGCTAGCAAGGCGACAACCCAGCGGGAGCCGTGGCAGGGACGGGCAGCGTGCTGTCGGGGGGAAGCCGTCGTCCCGACAGGGTGCGCGTGTGCAGCCACACGTCGGGGTTGGTACCTGTAACCGCGGTTGGAGGCCCGGGGCGGAATCCGGTAGACGCTGACGTCCGGCTTCACACACAGCACAGACTCATACTCCAGCTCGGCCGCCATCTTGACTCCGCCGTCCGCGCCGCCGCGGGCGAGACGCAGCGCGGGAGGCGGGGCTCGGGGCGGGAAGTTGCTCCGCGCGACGTCTGCTACGTCACTTCCGCGAGGAGTCCATTGGCTGCTGAGATGAACCGTTTCGGGGACGCGAGCCAGGGGAGCCATGTTGAAACCGGGAGGCGACGCGGCTGCACGGCTCGCCATCTTGGGTGATGGCAGAGCTGCCTCCCCGGGCGCGCCTGGCGAGACGGACATCGGCATCCCCGGGAGGGGCTGCGCAGAAGCGCCATCTTGCTCTCAGCAGGTGCCCGCGGTGCCCCGGGAGGATGGGGACCCTCCTGAATCCTGGCGGCAGTTTCCCCGCGGAAAAGGCAGAAAACCGTAGTCCACCTGCGAGAAATGCCTGATCTGGCCACAGACGCGCTGGATGTCAACCCTCCCGTCGAAACGTTCAAAACACCCCGCCTGATGAGTTGCCTTCCAGCCCCTCTTCCTCCGACGTTTCGGATGGCGCCTGGGGAAGCGTTTTGCCGCAGCCTCGGCGTGCGTTCCGATTCTCCTTTTGGAAAAAAAAATTTTTTTGAGTTGGAGTCTCACTCGGTCGCCCAGACTGGAGCGCAGGGGCCGCTCCCGGCCCCCGCAGCCTCGACCCGCTGGGCTCCGACGAGCCTTCCACTCAGCCTTCCGAGTAGCTGGAGCTACAGGCGCGCGCGGCCACGCCCGGCTCATTTTTGGATTTATTGCAGAGATGAGAGCTCGCCCAGTTGCCCAGGCGGGTCTCGAACCCGCGGGCTCAGGCCATCCACTCACCCCCGCCTCCCAAAGAGCGGGATTCCAGGCTGAGCCTCCGAGCTCGGCTCCGTGTTGGAAAATGTGACCCTGTTCGGGAAGCTCTGGGCGAGACCCGCCCGCCTCCTGGCGCACGATGATTGGTGATTCACTGTCCAGGGGCTCCCAGTGCTGTCGGGACCTTTTCTTCGGGTTCTTATGTTTGGGAGATAGCCTCACTGTTTCTTACAGATGATCATTAATATATTTGACATTTATTTATATTTTATGTTACTTTTCACATTATATAGTATTATACATTTTAAGCTATACATTATATATCCAGTTAATATCCTTGATGAAGGAAAGGGATGTCAAGGTTGAGCAATTGCAGTTACTCTGCAATCTTGTCAGTGGATCTGATGAGTAAATTTACTTCAGTTTTCAAAGACCAGAGGAAGGGATTAAAGAGCTCCTTTTGTAACTTGGCTGACGACAGGGTAAATTTTCTTGAGTGCATATTGTAGAAAATGACTCTCCTTTTTTTAGCTTCCACTCTTGAATCCGATCTTCCTTGGG